GTGGTAGATCGCACGATCAGCTTCGATGACTACAAGAGATGTTTGTTTGGTGGTGGAAAACAACTACGAAAAATGAACACACTTCGGAGCCGAAAACATGAGATGTACATGGAAGAGATCAATAAGGTTGCACTATCCGCAGACGATGACAAGCGAATCATTTTACCGGACAAAATACACACATACGCGATAGGACACTACAAAGCGGTCACACAACACTGATAAATCGTGGTAGGTTAAGCCCTTTCATCACCACTTAAGTACATAAAACCACAAAAAGCCGTCACACAACACACTTAAAGACAAATGGCACGCCGTCAAATTATTGTGCATGCACGATGATTTAACGTGAATACCACAAATAGATGATGGGAAAAGTGCAAAAATATAGTGCATGCACGATAATTTGACGTGAATGCTACAAACATACTTAAAGAATCTCTCGAAAGTGATGAATTATCGTGCATGCACGATAATTTAACGATAGAGCATAAAACAGGCCATGAAAGTACTAAATTAACGTACATTCATGATAATTTGACGTAAATTCAGGGAAAATGATCCAGAACCCGCCAAAGGGATACTACTATTGTATCCTAAAGATAATGATCCTACCAAGTCTCCTCTGCGTTGCCTTCTTTTACGAATTTTACGTTTGGGCATCTCTGTAACATCTCATGCAACCTTCGTGTTTTAAGAGATGACTCACCAGTCTCATAGAATCGCGACTCGCCGGGTGTACATCAAAACACAAATAACCATACAGTCTTTCCGTGCATTCGTTATATACTTTCATGACTTCTTGCCATTTGGTAGGGTACATTTGCAAGAGTAAATTCCTTAATCCAATTTGATCCCTCAGGTTTTTAAAGGCAATGATGTACTGGGCAATTCTAGAAATGGTTTTGGCATATTTCCCTGCGGGAAACATATCTTGACAGAGGTAACATACGATGACATTTAAATGATGGGAATATCGGGTAAACAAATTCAGAATGTCTTTATCGTTTCCGCCTTCGGCCATCAAATCATCCAAGACTAACATGCCTCCTTTCGTATCGCCAAACCATTCTTTAATCTTTTCGTCGTCAGGCACTCCCTCCTCAAATTCTATGCCATGCTTTTTCATGTCGTCGAAATTCGGCTGCCACGACCCGTAGCAATACCGAATGCGTTTCAGGGGTACGGAAAATACTTCCGGGTTTTCTAGCAGCAGGCGTTTTAGAAAGGTCGTTTTGCCGCAACTGGTAGGACCCACTATTAAAAGATTGGCTGGGCATTTTATAGAATGTTGCCATGTCTCTCACACACACAGAAATGACACTGGTAGTAGTCTTCAAAATTATTTTATTAACCCTCGAATCATGTCCTCTAACATACTTCCCACCATATGATCGTTTTGCACGTAATCGTTGCTGGTAAAATAACTTAAAAAATCATTCATGCTTTGACCTCGAGCTTTACACATCAAATACACCATGGCATAATCACCGCAACTGGCCGTTAGAATCGATTGTAAGACACGATCGTTTTTACGAATGTAGTTCCATCGATTTAATCATACGAGAAACGGGGCCAAATATTGGTTAGTGTGTCACTCTAAACCGTAACTATCTAAAAGTTCACACGAATCCTCATACGTCCACACGGCTATCCAATGCTCTCCTGGTTTATGACCGGGATGTGTATTCACGATGTACGCTTGGGGTGATCCTCGAAGGGGTGTGGTAGGTAATTCGTCGCAGGCAAAGGCACCGACATAATAGCGTTTCAGGATGGGATCGCGTTCTCCCAAGGCGTTTAATTGATCCATAGATAACCTTACAAACTCCATGACTAATTCACATCCATGCTGACACCTCCTTTAAACCCATCGATTTCCAGCATGCTTGCGTATTCGCAGTAAATCACAATGGTTCTATTCGCCCCTTGAGCTGCACATTTCAACTGAATGTTGATAAATCCTGCTTCTTTGGGAAGTAAAATGGGATCGTCGTGTCTGCCGTTAGCCACGTTGGACCAGGCAAACAGGGTACAATTCTTTCCCTCTCCCCAATCGGTAAAACAAACCATGTTTCCCCCTTTTCTGTAAAGGCAACCTGTAGCTTCCAGGAACCTGTGATACCCCGTCATATCTTTGTTTCCATTTCCTGTGTTCAAATCCATCGTTTCATAAGGGTATTCCTCACCATTCCAAATCTGTTTCACCCATTCCACTCCGAATTTTCCAAAGGCAAAAGGGTCTTTATCGGCTTGCCCGTTAAAAGCTGTGGTAGCCAGAATACCCAGCACGATTCTCTGGGGAATTTTCCCGTTAAAGGGATTGATGATTTCTTTGTAGGTAGCTGCATTATCTAGGGGANATCAAATCTCATTAACTCTTTTATCATTTTAATATGTAGCAAGCTATTTATCGCTAGTTAATCTCATAAAATTAATAGAAACAAGAAGTAGAAGGCTTCCATAGTGTTCACTTGTTGGACACTACCATCAAAACCGAACCAAAACGAAGAAACTTTAATTAAGAATTGTTTCATGCTTAGCGTGCGTCTATCGAGTTATGGATGCACGCGGGGAGTTTGGAGAGCACGAGAGAAGCATAAACGTTTCTCGAGGCGCAGCTGAGAGCAACCCTAGCTTCTTGAGTGCTTTCCAAACTTCCCAAGTGCATCCATAACTCGATATACGCACAGCTAAAAGCATGAAACAATTCTTTTTTTAACATACGAAAACAATTTGGGCGCTGAATGATGTTTTTGTAATGTTTTTTGAAATGAAAGTTGCCCGAAAATGTTGGCGTCTCCGATTGTTTTGTTGATTTTGTAATTAAATGGTTTTCGGTAGAGTTAACAAATGTAGCCAAAAACAACGTCATCAACAGAGACGTTTACCTTTAAAAGTCGCCACAGACCAATTTGAAGTCTTCTTAGTTCCTGCTGAATGTCTTTCAGCTAAAATTTTCTCCAGCTCCTGTTCCCATAAATTCGGGAAACGGGCCTGTTGTGTTTCGTTTTCGTAGTGCTTGTGCTTATTGGCTTGACTACTTGCGGGAAGGTCGAAAGCCAAAGAAAAGTTTGGTTGGTCTCGGATTTACTAATATCGCTTTCCGAAACTTTAACTTAAGGAACTCACACGACGGCGGAAATTTTGTAGCTATTTTGAAACTGCACTCGTCATTTTATTTAGCACGGCCGTTCGTACATAAAGATTTTGTTCATGTTGACGCAATAGGAATTAGTTAGGACTAGTGCGTGCGCTATGTTATAAACTACATTGACTCAGGAAAATTTATATTTGAGCATCATCAAGCTATGTAAATGTACACGCGGGATTAAGGAAAACTTAGATTTGGGCATCACCAAGCTATTTAATTTAAACGCAGATTTCTTTCTCGTTTAAAATGATGTCGAAAAGGAACAAGACGCCTCATGGCCAGAAATCGCGGACGTAGCGCCCGCGTAACGACAGCGGCTTTGCCCCCCTTCTCAAAAAAATATGGCGATCAAGTTTACAAAAAAATGTATGGAGCGAAAATTATAGTTGAAGATAGAAACATTTCTCGCGTACCTGTAACAGTTGCCAAGTCGGAATCCAATAGTAGGAAGTATCTGTAACCCACTGTATAAATATTAAATCCACAACAGACTGTTAACACCGTCCTCTTTTAGTGTGATTTTACCTCTCCTGTCGCTCTCACAACCCTTCTATTTTATGCGGAATATTGTTGAATTCGCCATCTGTCACCTCGCCTGGCCGCGCTCGCATCCAATTGTTCGATGTTGCCAAGTTCATTCCCGAAAGTCACCAGCGTGGCCCGCAAACACAACAATCTTCAGGTAGATGGAACACGTTTAACAGCGTCCATTTTTGGATTGAAAACACAAGAGTATAATACTATGGAAGTAGAGACGTTCATCATGAACTACCGGAAGTGGGCCCATGAAAGCCTGACTTCACGCGCAAAAAGAAGCTCACTTCTTCAGTGCCTTCGACTGTATTCGCCATCGTTTATCCGCCATGTTTGGTATCAAAATAAAGCTTGGAAACCAGGCTTTCAATCTCCGTTGAGAACTGGGGAAAGTTGTTTAACAGTAATGTTGGTCAGCGCTCTAACGAATGGGCATTTTTAGTTCCGGTGCCAAGTGGCGGGAGCTTCGGATCCATCGAGATGAGGATTTCATTAAAATGTCTGACCTTCTCACTGGTTTTGGTCTTAGCAAATGGAAGGAAAACATTTTGGTGTCTACAGAGCATTGCCTTAATTACGTGAAACAAGATTGTGTTGCAGGAGATGAAATAATTTTTACGGTAAACATTCAAAACGAGCAACTGAGGAGCTGGTATGATCTCAGAGAGGGGCAGGGCTTATTGGCACAATTTTCTTATGTGGAAATTTTGAACGCCTCAATTGCCGAACAAAGTATTAAAATTAAAGACGACTGCACAAGAATTGATGGTTTAATTCGAAGAAGCTGCAGTAATATCAAAAGCAAATGCCGGAAGCTCGAGGGTCGTGCCAGAGTTCAGTACCTGAATGAATTTAGAAGAATTGCCATTCGTCGGGATGAGATTGTTAAAGTGGCGGACATGGAGAAAGAAATCAATAAAATGAGAGAAACTGCAAAAGGATTATTAGAAGATAACGAGAAGCTGCAAAAGCGTTGCGAAGAACTATACACAGAACTTCAAAGCGCATTCCAGTTCAAAACAGACTTTGAAAACAAACTGGTCGAAATGGAAAATTCCTACGAGGGTATTTTAAGTAAAAACAAGGAACTCAGAGACTACATTGACAGAATGTCAATTTCAGATACAGTAGAAAACGGCGGTAAGGTCATTTCTGAAGTTGGAGGGAGACAGCAAAGAAGAAAACTGAGGGAACTTAAAACACATGTGGAAAGGACTTTGTGGTTTGCAGAGACCTATGGCCTTACTTTGGATGTGGCCAGTTTTACTGACCAGAAGGGAGTCAGTCACACTGTCAATTTTCTCGATGGCAAAGACAAAAAAAAATTCAAGGATCTTCCTCAAGAGGAACAGGACAAAATAAAGCAAATTCTTTTCATCCAAGATAAGTTTTCAATCGGTGAAGCAGCTTATCATGAGCTGACCATGACACCAGCAGGGGAGGGGTTACCCAGGTCATACCTGATAAAGCAGTGCAAAGACTCACTAAATGAACTTTGTCACATTGAGAGAACCCCAGGGAAAGAAGAAGGAGCACAACTTAATTTCCGGAATGAGCTATGCAGTACAATCCGTAATCATGTAAGTACACAAAGTTCATGACAATGTACCGATAAATAACTATTATATATAAAAATAAATAAAAAACATAATATTACAATACTATTTTAAGAAGTATCTTCAATAATATCAACCAATAAAATTTTTAAACCTAGATGAGAGACCATGCAACAACAGGCGAAAAGGACCAGCCTCCAAAGTACAAAGTAAAACTGAGCGGCGATGGTGCCAAAATGACACGGCTTACAGGCTTTGTCATTTTGTCATTCTCACTTCTGAATGACGAAGATGCAGTAATGTCTTCAAGAGGTAAGATTCAAAATGCACATGGAAAAATTGGGCATAATTTGCTTACTTTCCCTTTATCTCAGGAAATCATACTGTTGCTGTAATAAAGGGAAAAGAATCCTATGAACTTTTGCAAACATCATGTGCCAGGCTCTTTGCTGATGTGAACAGGATTGTGAAAGAGGGAGTAGTAGAAGTGGATGGAAAAGATGTGCCAGTTGAAATGTACCTTGGAGGTGACTATAAGGTACCTGAAATGAATGTTCCTTTTATTATTATTATTTTAGTGGGGGCAGGGGAAAAACCTGTTTATTGTTGACTCCTAATCAATGTATTTTATTTGTCTAGTTTCTTTTACTTATAATGGGAATGAAGGGAGCAACTTCAGGTTATGCTTGTGTCTGGTGCACAATTCACAAGACCTTAAGGTAAGAAGTGCATATCAAGGTAATATATTCTTTCAACAATAATTTAAAATAACTCAGACAACATAACTCAGTCTTCCATACATGTATCTCACATTTTAGGTCTGACATGACCAAGCCCATGAACTACTACTGGAAGGAATCAAAAAGAACATTAGATGACATGAAGAGATGTGCTCTAAAGCAACAGTATTCCTGTGAGCACCCACCTTTGCTAGAAATCCCTTTAGAGAATGTGGTGCTTGATGAGCTGCATTTGATCCTGAGGGTTACTGGTAAGATATTACTAACTATACTGAATACTGACTCATTCAACTAAGCAGCAAGAAATGGCTTGCTTTTGTTATTAAACAGACAAGCTAACAAAGAATCTTGTGACAGAGGCAATTAGCAGGGACAAAAAAGATAACCTACATAAAGCCCCTCGTAACCGAACAGCAACTCACCTTAACAGCCTTGTAAAAGCCATTTGTAGCTGTGGTGTCTCCTTTAGCGTGTGGGAAAAAAAGAATGCCGATGGAAGTGGAAGTGGCACACACGATTTCACTAGCCTGATGGGCACAGATAAAAAGTTGTTACTGGAAAAGCTCCCAGCCAAGCTGGATGGTATCATTGGCCCAACTACAAGTAGCACAGTGATTAAAATTTGGAAGGTACTTCTTATTTACATCAGGTGTAATGTTTAAGAATGTAAATATTTTTAATAAAGAAAGATAATAAATTAAACATTACAATAAAATTAAAAATTTGATCAGTTGGCCAACCAAGAGTTAAACTATATACCAGTAATTATCACCTTTAAATGATAATGCAAAACATTTTATTTACCTAGGACTTCAATGACATCTACACAAGAGATCTTCTGAAAAAGGACCCCACAGATGAAGACATTGAGAACTATTTTGCCAAGGTACATTTATATATTATTATGATGTCACTTACAAATCAATACACCTTTTATGGCATAAGGCATCAGCTGCCCATAATAATATTGACTCATGGTTGTACAATAACTATAGTAATATCATTTTCTGTTTAATTTTATAGGTCACTGCTTGGGTAACTCTTTTTAAATCCCTCGGTGGGAAGTTGGAGGGGTATGGCTGTTCTGAAGTAACACCCTATATCCACTGTATGGTTTACCATGTTCCACACTTCATGAAAAAACACAAAGGAATGAAAAAATTCTCTGGACAAGGTATACAATTGAACTGGTTAAAAAACATGACCTTTAACTCATTGTCAAGCAAATAGCATTATATCAGGTGATTCTAGTCTAGACACTAATCTTTTTTTATTTGCAAAACAATAATAATTAACAATACATTCTAGGGGTTGAGAAGCTAAATGATGACTGTCGAAGGATCCATTTGCAGAAGTCAAATAAGTGGGATGCTGCCAAAGATGTCCTCATAGTTGGGAAGCGGCTTGAGATGCTAAGGGACTTTAAAAGAAGCCCACGCCTGTACAAAAAGGCAGCCAAAGATTACTGGTCAGGAGGCATAACTGAGAATCGTGCAAAGCGTCCCCGTTTGAGCCATGATGAAAAAAGTCAACAAAACAGTGTGGAAGAAATTGATAGCCTGAGCCCTGAAATGATTAAATCTAAACTTAAGGACTTAGGAATAACGACACGGGCAAGAAATATAAAGAGATTACAGGGAATATATAGAGCAGCTTTGCAATCTGCATCAGTTGAAAAAGATCATTAAATTCAGTAGTGTTATAAAAAACAAAACAAAAATGATGCATGGAATAAGGCCCTAAGATATGTTTCACAAACAAATGTATTGTAATCCTTTCAATGTGCTTTGTATATACTGGGAAATCAAGAGGAAAATTCTATGTTAGATCAGGAGTCACTTGGGGCCTTATTCTATTCACTCCTTAAAACATTACATTTTACCTTTCCATAAGGTTATTAAGGGTAAATATTCAAATATTAAATTTTCAAGCCCCAATATTTTAAGGGGAGAACCAAAACAGTTCACTGCAGTTTTAAAAATTTAAGTTGTTAATGTCACAAGCATATTTCACCATTGACACACAAAGTTTTTCCATTGGGAACTGGGAAGCCTTGGCAAGCTTGCCTGCTTTTCTGACGTAGTGAACAGGGGACCAAGTTAAAAGAGGTTTTATCTTTATTGGAAAGTCCACTGCCTTTCCTTCCCCATGCACATCCAGGTAGTACCACCAGTGCTCGGGTAATGTGGTAAACCTGGAGAAGTCATGCTTGGAATACAAAACATGACCTCGGTGTTCACAAGCAACTCCCTTCTTGTGTGAAAGGTATCTCCACACATCTAGCTCCATGTTCACATAAAATGGAGCCACGGAGGAACTTTTCAAAGCAGAAAGGACTGCTGTTGCAAAGTGGAAACCAGCATCTTGCAGCCTCTCCTCGCTTGGTTTGGGTGGTTTTTCATAGCCTCTATGTAATTAACAAAGAAATTGACAAAATAATGAATACAATGGCCTATCTAGCCTTAACCTTCTTCTAAAGCTTCATTCAAAAGCTGTTACCTTTATCAAATGCCTTCTGACATAATAAAAGGAATTCAAATAAACAACATAGCTTGTAACATGTCATCTCACCTAATTAAAGCCTCAGGTAGGTTTTCTGATGGCTCCCACGTAGAGTCTTGCAGCGGCCAACCTCTCCATTTTATTAAGTATTCGTAGTCCTGCTATGCATGAAACATTATTTTAAAAGTAATTTCCCGGGGCCCCCAAATTACACATTTTTTGTATATCAGATAATGTTAAACGATGATAAGAATTCACGCAATCGAAAACGAAAGATTTCTTCCGTTTGGCAGATATGAAACAGGAAAAAACAATAAATCAACATTTATTTATACGACATACATATTCTAACAGTGAAATGAACAACTGACTGTCATTGACATCCACAACTGGGATGATCGTCACACTTTAAAAGTCAACCACCTGCAAGCACAAAGCCAGAAAATCTTACATATTTTGTCTTTCGCCTCTCGATGATTCTTTCCACCTCGTACAGTTTCCCTCTTTTAATTTTTTTTCTGGCTGTGTCGTACAAAACGACTGACGAAAGAGAATGAAGCTGGGAATAATCCACTTCGGGGATAGCACGCTTTTTGGCCGCCATATTGGTTTCTCAGCTATCATAAAGAAAGCCGCATGCCGCTGCGCGGGCTCAAATGTCCGCGATTTCTGGCCATG